AGCTCACTGCCGGGAAGAAATATTAGAAAAAGTCAATGTTTACATTATCATATCCTAACCAGAACAAAGTAAAAAATCTCCCAACCCTCCATTTTCCCATCTGGGGAATGTGAACACTAATATTGTCTCTAGAACTGTGGATAAAGCATTTAGAATGTTTAATGGCACTTAGTGAGTAGACAATGCATGTTAGGTGCTATTTTTTTTTTATCGTCTCATTACTGTTTTCATAACTCATATCATGACTCATTTATAAGGCAAAGCATATAGAGACAATGGTATTCCATTAATATGGAATTAAAACCCCTAATAATTCAAACTACACTGCACTCACTTGGCTACTGATATTAGAGTATTTCCAAAATCATAGCTACCGTCACATTGGAGAGGAGGGATACAGATCTATTAACCTACTGCCTTACAAGGAAATGACCCTCTCCAAAGTATGCGTTCTAGGAAGCCAAATCAGCAACATGCCCATGTATACATTACATAAATACATACATGTAGCCATAAATAAATGCTATACTAATCACCAATTTAAAGTATTTACGGAGTAAATGTTTACAATTCAGGCTCCTTTAACTAACATACTCTTCAAAGTAACTACTGCTGGAGAGATTATTTTATTTACCATACATGCACAAATACTGATTCATTTAATTGACCTTCCCCAACTTCCTCCTTCTCTTACAAAAGCCAGACAAATAAGGGCCTTTAAAACATAGGCAAATCTAAGGTCCCAAACTTGTCCAGCTAAAAACAAGATGTTTCAGAGAGTGTGTGTCAAGAGCAGAACAGGGGTCAGCAGCAAACTATGAACAGCAAGCCAAATCCAGACCACAGCTTGCTTTTGTAAAGAAAGTGTTACTGGAACACCCCCACGCTCATTCATTTCCATGGTGTCTATGGTTGTTTTTACACTACAACTGCAGAATTGGGTGGTTGTGACCACTTAGCCCAGAAAGCCTAAAAGATTTACTATCCGGGATCTACAGGCAAAGTCTGCCAACGTTTTAGAGGACCCTTGAAATCAGATCATTTTCATAAGAGATTCACAGTAAGTTTGGGAATACCATAGGTATCAAAAGAATAAATCAGACATAAGAGCTCCCCCTTCCCTCTCATCTCCAAGTACAATAAATTCAGAGTAGCTTCTCCAAATTATTTCATATGCTGATATAGTACTAAGAAATAGAGAGTTTAAAACTACATACATTATAATAAAAATACTTTTCTAAAGAAATACTACTACTTTCAAGACACAGGAACCATGCTTTATACAATATAAAAACATACATTTGTATTTTTTTAAAAGATTATCTTATGGTATTCTAATGCTGATGAATTTATGGATTCCCCCCACCACTGTATTTGGGAGTTCATTATGATTTCAAATAGATGTAAGAAAACTTTAAAAATGCAATGTAAATCATAAGTGACATAACAAAACTTTTGAAAAAGGACCTGATAAAATAATATCCAAACCCACAGAATAAAGATTGGAAGAGTATTAGGTTTTAGCTATTTATTCTTTCTATGTTACACATAATCAAGGATAATCTGGTACTAAGGAGCACATAAATGGCAATTAATTTTTCTCAGTTACTTTATATTTTGTTAATTAAAATGTATTTTGATGACCTGTACACAATTAAATAAAATAAAACTGCTTAGAAATGGGATTTTAACACAGTGACTGCCACACTAAGAAAAAAATTTTTCCTTAGGGCCACGGTGTTTTATTATGAAAATAGAATAAAAACTTCGAAAATGATTGTAATTTAATGAAAAATTTGTTATTTTTAATTGTTTTCTGTGTGTGAGTTATATGCAACTTGAAAAATAGTTCTCACGGCTCTCAAAGTGAAAAGACGCGTGTGTGAGTTACATACGCTTCACAAGGCCCTGGGTTCAAAACTATAGTGAGTTAAATACAACTCACATGACAGTTAATGTGTTAAAAATCACTTTGCACAGCAAGTTTACCAAAATTTTTTAAAGCTTGAAAATAAGTGGAAATATTATTCACAAATACCAAGAAAAATTACAAAGAAATCATCCAAATACATTTAAGATAGGAAGAAAAATATTCTATCCTTATAATTTGTCACAAAAACCAAATTCTATAAAAGGAACAAAAAAGCATCCCCTGAATCCAACCAGTCACTACTTTATGCAAAATGAAACATTTTCTAGTATCTACTACCTCTTTGTATATAAGGTACTTTAAAATCTGAAACACGTAACAGTAATACTTTAGTATGGTATTTGAAAACTAGGAAAATAAAATTTCCACGACTGTCTTTCTCAGGCTAGTTTGTATGAATCTGTTTCAAATAAAATTGGTGACATTTTAGAAACAACTACAAGGTCTTATTAATTATTGTAACTAAAACAAAACCATTAAAGATTACACAGAAACATTTAGATCAGTCATATCGCTGTATTTTATGATTCGTCATTTTATGAATAACAAACCTATATAAACAGTAACAACAAAAATAAAAGTCAAGAAACATAAGGTAAGGAAATTTGTTCACCTTACAATTATATGAAAACAATTTTAGAACATTTTAAAAAATTGAGATACTTAAATATAGTCCATGGGACTAATTAATATTTAAATTACATTAGCATAGAAATGCTTTAAATCATGACACATTTCCCAGGACTATACACTTGTCAGCAATAAACTAGAGCTCAACAGATAATCTGTACAGAGAGTTGCTCCAGTGATTCAAGGTTCTTCCTTGAGTATACGCTACTGAATTAATGATCCAAAATTATATTATCTGTTTTCATGTATTAATAGGTAAAATGTATTAATAACTAATATATAACAGACCTTATAAGAGATCTTAAACACTTGCTTTTACTAATTTTACTTTTGTATTTTCAAAGTTCAAATGTATTCAAAAGGCCCTCATATATACATTAAGTTTCAACATTAAAACAAATACTTAATATAAATTAAATTCAACAAAATTCTAACACAGTTCTAGTAACTATATAAAAAACTCATGTCCACATCCTAAGCACTTACCATGCTAGTAATCCTAAAACAGAGAAATGATAAAGACACAAAGAAATGCAAAAACTGAATCCCAATTTCTTATCGAATACCTTGGGTTAAAACTTTTATTTCTGTCAAATGTGTTTTTCTCAGAAATAAAATATGAAGACAGTAAGCACTTGAAAAATGATTCAAAATGTGAATTAAATGTTATTTATAAGGACAAGCATAAATAAGGTAAAGGATAGGGTCCAGCAAATTGATACAGAAAATTCAAGTGACTTGCTCAAATCCATTGAGTTAATTACGGAAAAAAATAAAACCTGAGCATTTCCCAACTCCTCTAAGCCTGCCTGACTGAGGTCTTTAATAATCCAGTTACGATCACACCAAGGTAAGACACAAAACCTCACCTTTCCTCCAAGCACTGAAAATTTTGCTACAGCATGTCAGTTTTCTGTTCTTCAACCAATCAAATGCCACTCGCCAGAGGATAAATACAAACTGGCAACGGCAAAGAGGAACGAAATAAAAATGCAAGAGGAAGGGGCAGAGGGGAAGAAAAAGGGAGGAGAAAGGAAAATACACTCCCCTGAAGATATTTACAGGGTCTTCCTGGCTGCTTCTGTCATGGCATTGCCCCTCTAGAGCAGCAGTCCCTAACCATTTTGGCACCAGGGGGGACTGGTTTCATGGAAGACAATTTTTCCACAGACCTGGGGCAGGGGTATGGTTTCAGGATGATTCAAGCACATTACATTTATTGTGCACTTTATTTCTATTGTTATTACATTGTAATATATAATGAAATAATTACACATCTCACTATAATGCAGAATCAGTGGGAGCCCTGAACATGTTTTCCTGAAACTAGACAGTCCCATCTGGGGGTGATGGGATAGAGTGGCTGATCTGACATGAGGCGGAGCTCAGGCGGCCATGCGAGCGATGGGGAGCAGCTGCAAATACTGCTCACCTCCTGCTGTGTGGCCCAGTTCCTAGCAGGCCACAGACTGGTACCAGTCCACAGGCTGGGGGCTAGAGGAAATCTCTCAGTCCTGGTCCAGACTCCCCCATGTTTCTCACCTTAATGGTCACAGCCAGGGACTGAAGATAGTGAGGGCCTACTCCCAACAAGCCAAGTGGGAACTCAATGTTTTTGCACTAAGGTTTTGTTACTTAAAGTGACTGTATTCTAAGCTGTGTTTCTTCTCCCTTTTAAAGGCCTTTTCTCTTTGAAAATAAGTCACACACACACACAAAATTAGAGATGTAAAAGCCCTCCTAATTTTACACGACTGCACTGAGTCTGTGGATTTCGGCACACTAGCCCCTGTGCCACAGCATCACTGATGCAGAGTTTTAGTGAGATTACACACCAACGAGGCTTTCCCCGCCAACCCGAGGGCCAAAGCCTCTGTATTATTTCTTCTAAGGGGAAGTATGAGTTCAAGACAATGGTTTTGTAAACAAATTTCTCAAAAACAATCCTGTCACAAGATATATCAATGTATTTCTATGATAATTTCTTCTGGATATATCACGAAGTAGCTGAATGTTTCAAAGAAAGTTCTTTGTATGATGACAGGCACCACCCTTAGGTTACAATTAAAGAGGACATAACTACTAAATTACTATCCAAAAGGTAATAAAACCAGTACTGAAACGTATTATAATCACAAGCATCTTTATGTTGTATGTCCAGAAAAGACACCTGCATGATGTTTAATGAATGGAATAGACTAATAAAGTGGCCGTAGCATAAAATTACTAAATAAAGATTATTTATAACTCACTATAGAATGGCATGGAATAAAAATCATAGCATGGAATTTTCTTAATTTTCTTCTCATTTTATAGTGCACTGATTTTTGCTGCATCAATTGACCAATTTAGGATCAGTAACAATGTTGATGAACAGACATGTTACGCATATCTATTTATTAAGTGTTTCCAAACAAAAACTACAGATATGAATACTTACTTATCAAAGCTATCGCTATTTTTGATGAAGCTCTCCAGTTTTTCCTTGGCATATTCCACCACATCTGAATGAAGCTCAATCCCGTGATTTATTCCAAAAGGACCTGCAATTGTAGCATTTTTATAAAAAATATTAATGATGCGCCATTACAGAGAGCTCTTTCAGTTTCTGCTCATTTATCTATCACAGGAGCATTTAAATATGCATTGAAATATGCATTTGCATCGAAATATGCAAATACCTGCTAGCCACAGTCTTAAAAGTTGAATGAAAATCTATGTAAAAAAGGGGGGGAAAAAACACAGTTCACACACATTTTCTATAAAAAGAATGCTATTATGCATAAGGTTGAAACCCACAGAGTTCTCTCGAGGGAGTAGCTTATCTGGCAGGACACGACTGCCAAAAGAATCATATTTCCATATGAAATTTAAGTTCTTTACCATTATTTTCATTTATCGTTTGCTAAAAATTTGTTAATTCTAAAATACCTGAAATCATGAGTTGACACAGATATTATATATATATGACTCAGAGTATCTGTACTCCCAGCCAGTAAATGCTAAATTCCTTGAAGGCCAAGACCACATTCTATGCCTTCTGGAGCTTCCAGTGTCTAGCAGAATGTGGCCATAAGGCAGCAGAGGGGATCTGACCCTCATGTTCCAAAATACTTCACACTTCTCCCTTGGTATTTCTTTTTACATGAACATGGATGGGATAACCTCCCTGGAAAAGGGGAACAGGGGAGAGCTTTCTCAGCCCCTAGAGATGATATTGGGCTGGTGCTTTTCCCCACCGTGGTACCAGCTCATTGAAAATATGAGGACTCATTTTCCTAAGGCTACTGTACATACTATCTGCCTCATGCCCCGCAAGAAAATAACACACAATCAGATCTAGTTATGTTAGTCCATTCTCAACTTATGAAATTGAGTCAACCAGGTTTTCCACTTAACATTTTTGTTTTACTGTAATTTGAGATTGGTCTTTTAGGGAAACGTATATTACTTATTTTCAGTTTAAGAAATACTTAACTGAATGTGCCCCCTACTAAATGTCTAAAAATATAGTACATATTGGAGTTGTTTCTACTGGCCACTAAGAACTTTAAAAATAACCAAAAAAATAAGACATAAATTATCATGTTTGAATGTTCAAACGGTACATGAAAAAAATAGTTTGTGGTCTAGAAAATATCCAAACTATAAAAACTTAACCAAAATGTTCAGGCACAATCTTCAAGTCAAAATCAGATAAGGATAATGCTTTAACCTACTATATTCCTATCCTATTCAATCAGTACTCATTTTTTTAAAAAAACTAATTTTCCTTGAAAAATGTACTCAGATAAAACAACACGATACTTGATTCATCCAACCACAAAAGACAGAATTACCTTCCTTTCCAATGTTTTTATACTTTATGAATTGTTCTGATTGATGTGATATTAAATGCTTTGCTTGTCGTTTGTTTCCTTACTTAGAAACTATTAGCCTTCATTGAAAACTGGAACATATTTAAGTTGGAAAATCACTGAAGACCCTCCTGTAATTCCTGATTACTATAAACTGAGTAAAACTCTCATTTTTTCCAAAATAAAGTGGCAAAAAAAATTTAAACTCAGAAAATCACACGTAGTGATATCACTTTTTTATATATTAAATCTGAATATTCTGAGATGTTAAATTTACATAGGGGTCAACACACAGAATGTTAGGAAAATCCAAATAAAGTTCTCTTCATTTAAAAAAATTCAAATTGAACTATAATTACTAAACATTATACACCAGTAAGAAAAATATTATCCTATGAAATGAACCTAATTTTGCTTTTATCCTTTTAGGGTTATCCACTGAACATAAAACATTAAGAGAAATTTTTATATTTTCATTTTCCATTAAGAATTTAGTTAGACTAATCAGCCACTTTTATGAAAAGAGAGAACTAGGACTGCACAGATAAGAGACCAATAAAAAAAAAAAGGTCAATATTGCTGGCATTCTGCATTTCCTGTAAGATGAAATGCATAAGCACAATAACAAAGGAGCTAAGAATCTGGAAATCAAAGCTTCTATGCCATACTTTAACTGTCTTATTAACAGAAGGAGTCTAAATTTTATAGTTTTAGGTTAAAAGGGACTATTTAGATAAGTTGTTCCTCAGTTAAAGATGCCACTGATTTTTTTCCGTTCTTTTTTTCTGCTTATTGTCTAAAAGCAAAAGCAAAGTGGCAACTTTTAGAAATAAGGTTTAAAGTTTAAGAAAATTTCTTAATGTTTTTTCACATAACTTTTCATAACATCTTGACACAAAATGGTTAGTAATGAAAGATAAAGACAATTTCATTAACACATAAAGGATTTGCTTTACAAATAATATAAATACACATGTAGAATACACTATGCTATTAATATCTAGTGCAAACATTTATGATTTTTAATGAATGAAACTTTAATTTTAAAATATGGAAGCATATCTTTAATTATCACTTAATCCGAATAGCAATTAACATGTTTAAAATAAAAAGAAAAAATACATTAATAAAAGGCTGAATTTAAAGAGCAATGTTACCAATATCTCATTTATTTAGAATGAATATACAAGCAGAATACATTAAGCGTACTATAAAAATGTAGTGCAATGCTGATTATTACAATTCATATCTGACATCTGTATTAAATAGAACAATAGGAAAATAAAACACAGAAAACTGAAAAAGCATACATAGCTGCTTCTGAGGAAGAGGACTGAGAGATCTAAGGTGAGGAGACATTTTCATCATTATATGCTTTTGTCTAAAGTGTGTTTTAACCATATGCATGTATAACTTTTCCAAACAAAAAAACAAGGGGCTAGTGAAAGAGATGAAAATATACTGTGCAAAAGCTCGAATAAACAATATACATATTTAATAGAAAGGTACAAGTTGTCAATGCAAAAAAATGAAATTGTTTCCAAAAGATGTTAACAGGCCAGGTGAAGCATAAATTTGACTCTGTATTCAATAGATTCCAATGTTATTTTGTATTTAACAATGCAAAGATTTTTCTATAAGGGTTATTTTATAACATATACTTAAAAAAAGAAAATGCTAACAGTTGGCCACTACCTCTAATAGCTAAATATTAAAGAGAAAATAGGAACACACACAGAAGTCAAAGTTTATTACAACAGTTATTAGAAATACCTAGGTATCCTATATAATGTTAAGAAATGATTTTTAAGGCTAGCAAAAGCCTATTAATTGAGAGCAATAACAAATAAAATTCCTATATAATAAAATCTAGAAACTGTTTTTCTTTTATAGTAATTAGATCTAATCTAGCCCATTTACCATCCACCAGTTAACCAAAGCTTACCCATAAAGGTCAATAATTATTAGGTTTAGGTATGAAGTGTCTATGCAATACCTGTATTTCTCATTTACATCTAGGTCCACTCCGTGTGATGTCCAACAACTTGACAGTGTGGTGCTGACAGGTAGAAGCCTACCTGCAGCAGGCCAAGGGAACCTGAGAGCTTCACACTACATGTGAATAAAGTTCACTGTGCCTTTAGTATTTTGTGTAAAGCTAAGTTACAGAACACATGGGCAACAAGTACTTCATAATACATAACTAGAAGAGCTCTAAAGATGAAATAATTCGAGATCCACCATTTCAGTCAAGGACTCTAAGGCTGAAATATCGGTATGGTGAGAAAGTGTTGGTTTCCAATACTGGTTTCTCCTCTTAACTGTTGTAAAATCTGAGACCAGTCAGTTACCATCTGAAGACTATATAAAGTGGTCCCTGGGAAAATCATACGAATTATGTAAAAGTACTTCACACACTATAAAACACAAGATGGTTAACAAACCGTTGTTAGAAATTATGATGTGCTCTCTCCCGACAGATAGAAATGGTTAGTCTCCACAAGATCATAACCTATATAATTGTTTCTTAACCCTGACTGCATATTAGAATAACTTGGGAATTTTTTAATTGAATTTTTAAAAGATAAAATTTCATCCCAGCATTTAAGGAGGCCAAGCAGGAGGACTGCTTGAGGCCAAGAGTTCAAGACCACCCTGAGCAACAGAGTGAGACCCCGTCTCTATAAAAATGTTTAAAATTAGCCAGGCCTGTAGTCCCAACTACTCAGGAGGCTAAGGCAAGAGGATCTCTTGAGCCCAGGAATTCAAAGCGCAGTGAGCTAGGATCACACCACTGCACTCCAGCCCGAGCAACAGAGACAGACTCTCCTTAAAAAAAAAAAGGGGGGGGGGGTAAAGTAATTAACTTTAACTTGATTTCAACGGCAAATGCCTGGGTCCTACACCAGACAGGTGAAAGGGAATCAGTCAGATGTGAGCCAGGCACTGCAATTAATCCTAACATGCAACTAGGGTTACCTAGCACTAGCCACACACTCCTAATTACGAAGCCCAATCTAAATGATTTTTAATATCCATTCTGGACTATTCAAATCTCTATTCTCACTGATAAAGTAATATCAAGAGTTGATAACTATAAGTAAAAGCATTATGGCTAAAACTAAATATTTACCACAAGGGGGAGTAGGTGAATAAGTTATTTGGTTTCTATGAAACTAGTATAAAGTCAATAAGAGCTAAAATATATACATAAAAAGATCTTTCAAGAAATTACAATAGTATTTTATTACAAATTCTAGTTTATAAAATAAGGCATTCTTTGGGAAGATTTAAAAGTAACTTTAGAAGTACCCAGGACAGAAACAGGTAAAAAATAGACAGTAATAGGTTTCACCCTTTCTTTCCATGAATATCCTGCAGTACAATGTACAGACATAAAATAGTCCGAAGGTAGATAAGGGAAAGGGAATAAAAGGAATTAGCAAAAGGCTAAGCAATCACTAATTAGGTAATTAAGAGAAATTACTCTATTGCCATTTATTAAAATATATTTAATTTCTTACAGTTTCTCTCATCCTATTATACTACGCTGAAAAAAGTATACTAAAGACAAACAGTGTCAAATTTTTACTGAGTATTTTCATGTTAGCTTAACCATTCTGAGCTAACAAAAGTAGACACTTTGTTCTCTGCTCTCTAGTTTTGGGAAAGGCCTCATGACACAA